AAATAATGGACTTGAACATTTTAAATATCATTTCCAAGCATTTAGCCTATACCATAAAACAGCTTGTGAATAGTCATGATTCACGTAACGTTATTTACTTCAGAAAAATCAACAATAGGGCCCAAGTTAAGTTAACCGAGTTGAAAAAAATGCTTTTTTTTTTTTGCATATGGGCCCGGGTCTGACTTGCTACGCCACTGATTGCATTATTACCTGTAACATGTCTGTGCCGAACCCAAATTAAGAATTAACGACCATTTCTACAGACATAGCAAACAGACAGAAGAGAAAGAGCAAGAGCGTCTACCTCAGCAGCAACAAATCTCGCATTCTCACATGTAGCGCTTATTTTGATCTTTAATGTTATGTCTTTCCTATTCTTGAAAAAAAAAATGCTTAAGGTTGATTCAATATTAGGCCTACTCTTAATGAAAACAACACACACACACACACACACACACACACACACACAACATCAGCAATGCTACAATGACAAAGTATATTAAAAGTAAAACTTTTATGAACAGAACGAATAAGACTGATGTAGGCCTACCTACGCTGTAACACAAATAAATGAAAGGTTTTTGGATTTTCCCCTTACTTTAAACGAATGCTTATGGCTCATTATTATTAATGGTGAAAAGGCTATACAATAAAATAGTACAATGATAAATTCAACAATATTAAACTGAACTTTTCTAAACAAAATTAATATGGATTTCCCCTCAGGCTACCTTAAAACGATCATAGTTTGTGATTTATTATCTTAATTAAAACACATCAGCCATAAAATAGTACAATGGCAAATTCACATATATTAAACATCTAACTTGTATTAACAAAATGAATAAGATATTGCCCTGCGTTGTAACCCAAATAAATAAGGTATTTTCCCTTATTTAAAACGAATGCTTAGTTTGTGGTTCATTGTTTTTTTTTGTGTGTTTTTTTTATGGAAACCCAGCAACAATAAAGACACTCACTTATAGGCTATTAAACGAAGAAATGAAAGTTTTATTAAAAGTAACTCTTTTGGATCCGCCATCATAGTGTCTTCTCGCATCACGCTTGTCACGTGACCCCCACCCCCCACAAGTTTTATTTCTCAGCCCCCCCTGGACAAAATAATTTCCCGCGGCTATGCCTCCATGCCACGCCGAATTGAGGCAATAATTAAAGCAAAAGGAGCCCCTACCAAGTATTGAGTACATGTACAGTAAATGAACATACTTTCCAGAAGGCCAACAATTCACTAAAAATATTTTTTTTATTGGTCTTATGAAGTATTCTAATTTGTTGAGATAGTGAATTGGTGGGTTTTTGTTAAATGTGAGCCAAAATCATCACAATTAAAAGAACCAAAGACTTAAACTACTTCAGTCTGTGTGCATTGAATTTATTTAATACACGAGTTTCACAATTTGAGTTGAATTACTGAAATAAATGAACTTTTCCACGACATTCTAATTTATTGAGATGCACCTGTATATGTTGTTTTTGGTCGTTCTGAAATGCCCGAGGAAAGCCTGTCATCAAAGTATTTCTGTATAATTACTGTCTCACATGACTGCGTTCCCAAACAGCAGGCATCCACCTCTAAAAGCAACGACCGCATTTATTGTGTTTCGTCTGCTCGCTCTGAAGCGCAAGTAATTTATTACATATGAAAATTATTATATTCAGTAGCTTCTCCTAGTTTTCTTAGAGATATTTAGTGCCAGTTTATTAGGAAGTGACGATTTTGTTCTCTTTGACTCGTTGGATGGAAACCAAATGTTTTGTGCGATATTCCAGTTTTTGCGCATAAGTTAAATTCGCATCTTTGGATGGAAACATCACTCATAACAAAAAAATACCTCAATCTTCTTTGAATGGGCTTAACCTGTATTTTTCTCAGAAATCTTTTGCTGACATCTAGTGTTAAAATACGAAGAGTTTTCTGCATGCGTCAAATGATAAGACAGTTAAAATGTGATTTCTTGTTTTGATTCTGTTATTGAGGGTAAAAAACCTCATTTGTAATCAAGCAAATAATTTTTTTAAAATTTATCAAATCAAGCAACACTTCTTATCAAATGACATAAAAGGTAGGCCTAAATCAAGCAAAAATTCTTAACAAATGGCACTAAAGGTGAAGAACATTGAATAATATTTCTAAATATTTTACTCTAATTTTCTTACATGTTTAGGGTCATTTTGGTCGCAAATACCTATTTGAGGTTCGTCTCGCACAACGGAAAATGTTTATGGCGCCAGCGTTAGCTGTATTAAAGAAACAAAACAAAACATTTGAAGATATATTTGTGATATTTAAATGTATATTAAAGTGATAAATTACCGTATTTTTATTTTTCGACGCACCATCGACGCTTTACAATGAATTTAAAGATACACCCGCGCAACGAAGTGTCTGACAGTCTTTTTATTTTATGAATAAAATCAGTAAGTCACATTTTTGATGGCAAAATTATAGGCTTTTAAAACATCAAGGCAGAAAAATTAAGAGATGCATTTTTGTAGACATCCATTAACTTACATGAACACAAATAAGAGCTAGAGTAACTATAAAGAGCCTTTGGGATTCATAAAAGTTTGTAGCTAGAAGGAAAAGAGAGGCAGAGACGTTAAAGAGAAACCTCTCATACAAAAGAAAAATCACATAACTTTGTCCTTCCACCACAAGCAGCCTAAAAACTGACCTCAGAAGATAAGAGACGTTTACTACGCTATTCATCACAACCAATCTTCATCTATAAATGCATCAGTCTAAACACTAATTCAAAATGAATGGTATAAAAAAATACAATCAATATATATATATATATATATATATATATATATTCTTTGCCCTTGAAGAGAACAACACAAGACAACCCGATCTCATGGAAGTGCGTATAAATAGTACGCCAAATAAAAACCAAAACTCGTGGTATTGATACGCAAAAATTTACTTTGGCGTGTATATGCTACGCGATTGGTAGGTTTAGGGTTGTGGGGTAGATGCGTATCATATGCACGCGAAAACTGCATATGATATGCACGCCAAAGTCCATTTTTGCGTATCAATACCACGAGTTTTCGTTTTTATTTGGCGTACTATTTATACGTATTTTCATGAGACCGGGCTCCACAAGAGCACCCATCTGACTAAGGACAAGAACTGGTTGCAGAATCATACAGTAAGTGCCATAAAAAACGGGTTGTAGATTTGAAAACATACACAGTTTAGCGTATAAATATGTTTAGTTGTGACTATCCAGTATGCTTTAAAAGATCAAATGTTGCATGATGGACAAACAACCTCTGAGCTGGTCTTGCCTTCAAATATCTACATGCCCGCTTATGAAATATTACAACATATTTACTGTGATTCAACTACTGTACATCTTTGAAAACCATTCCGTTATTACACAGACAGTGCAGAAGCTACACAAAAACAACGCCAACTCTTGCTGTTGGTGCAGGAATTGGTGTATAATGGAAAGTTCACAAGAAAACAATTTCATCCTCATCTCACCCCATAACTAATGCTTTTCATCAGATGTAGGTTAACGATCGGGTCTTTTATTAGGTTATAGCTTATTGTTGACTAACTATGATCATTTAGAAGGGTTGAATGGGGCATATATTCATTTTGGCTGCAACTGCAAATGTATTTGTTGCTTCTCAGCTGAGGACAGTGATGTTAGTGTTCCTGATATTGTTGTGGTTATTTTGATTGTTGTTCTTGGATCACAGTTACTGATGTTTGCAATCTGTAGCTGGTGTTTTTGAGGTGTTCAGTTGGTGCAGGTGTTGATGTTCTTGCCGTCAGCTGCATCATCCACCAGAGACAGATGGTAGTCCGTGGCGAGAGTGAAATGAGAAATGCATCCCACTAAACCTCGCATGTACTGCCTGTTAGTGTGCAACGCGATCTCCTTCATCCCATCTGGAGAGACAGTGGGAAACTTTGAGATTTGAAATCAAAATCACAATAGAACTAGACAAATACAAAAGAAGTCTCTTCTGCTCATGGGGACTGCATTTATTTGATCAAAAATACAGTACATATATATATATTCTTTGCCCTTGAAGAGAACAACACAAGACAACCCGATCTCATGGAAGTGCGTATAAATAGTACGCCAAATAAAAACCAAAACTCGTGGTATTGATACGCAAAAATTTACTTTGGCGTGTATATGCTACGCGATTGGTAGGTTTAGGGTTGTGGGGTAGATGCGTATCATATGCACGCGAAAACTGCATATGATATGCACGCCAAAGTCCATTTTTGCGTATCAATACCACGAGTTTTCGTTTTTATTTGGCGTACTATTTATACGTATTTTCATGAGACCGGGCTCCACAAGAGCACCCATCTGACTAAGGACAAGAACTGGTTGCAGAATCATACAGTAAGTGCCATAAAAAACGGGTTGTAGATTTGAAAACATACACAGTTTAGCGTATAAATATGTTTAGTTGTGACTATCCAGTATGCTTTAAAAGATCAAATGTTGCATGATGGATAAACAACCTCTGAGCTGGTCTTGCCTTCAGATATCTACATGCCCGCTTATGAAATATTATAACATATTTACTGTGATTCAACTACTGTACATCTTTGAAAACCATTCCGTTATTACACAGACAGTGCAGAAGCTACACAAAAACAACGCCAACTCTTGCTGTTGGTGCAGGAATTGGTGTATAATGGAAAGTTCACAAGAAAACAATTTCATCCTCATCTCACCCCATAACTAATGCTTTTCATCAGATGTAGGTTAACGATCGGGTCTTTTATTAGGTTATAGCTTATTGTTGACTAACTATGATCATTTAGAAGGGTTGAATGGGGCATATATTCATTTTGGCTGCAACTGCAAATGTATTTGTTGCTTCTCAGCTGAGGACAGTGATGTTAGTGTTCCTGATATTGTTGTGGTTATTTTGATTGTTGTTCTTGGATCACAGTTACTGATGTTTGCAATCTGTAGCTGGTGTTTTTGAGGTGTTCAGTTGGTGCAGGTGTTGATGTTCTTGCCGTCAGCTGCATCATCCACCAGAGACAGATGGTAGTCCGTGGCGAGAGTGAAATGAGAAATGCATCCCACTAAACCTCGCATGTACTGCCTGTTAGTGTGCAACGCGATCTCCTTCATCCCATCTGGAGAGACAGTGGGAAACTTTGAGATTTGAAATCAAAATCACAATAGAACTAGACAAATACAAAAGAAGTCTCTTCTGCTCATGGGGACTGCATTTATTTGATCAAAAATACAGTACAAATAGTAATATTGTGAAAAATTATTTCAATTTAAAATAACCTTTTTCTATTTGAATATATTGTGAAGTGTATTTTATTCCTGTGATGCAAAGCTGAATTTCCAGCATCATTACACCAGTCTTCAGAGTCACACGATCCTTCAGAAATCATTCTAAGATGCTGATTTGCTGCTCAAGAAAAATTTGTGATTATTATCAATGTTGAAAACAGTTGTGCTGCTACATATTTTTTATGAAACCACTGATAAATTCATTTCAGGATTCTGCAATGAATCACAGCAAAACAAATCTTTTTCAATATCTTTACTGTCACTTTTAAACAATTTAACGCATTTTTGCTGAATAAAAGAATTGATTTCTTTCCATACAAACTAAACGGTAGTGTTATTTCATACTTGTATACACTATACTCTATACAATACTCTAAAAAAACACTGGGTTAAAAACAACCCAGTTCGGGTTGTTATTAACCCAAGGGCTGGGTAAATATAGGACAGAACCCATCTTGGGTTAAATTTACCCAGCAAATTGGGTTGTTTATTTAATCCAGCATAATGCGTTGATTTAACCCAGCTAATGGGTTTATTCATTTTTACTATATTACTAGCTTTTTTTTTTACTTCATATATTAACAGATTAATATATATAATATAATATATATAATATATTACAGATTAACTTAAATCCTCTAAACCTTTCTAAAATACTCCACACAACCACTGGTTTGCATGATAACTTCCTTTATTTTCCTTTATTTTTCATTTACAGCATTGTTTATATCGTTTGTAATAGGCTATACATATTGCCTATATTTAAACTCGTTTAACAAACATTAGAAGAAAAATTCAACATTAAACAGAAGTAATTCACGTGTAATCGACCAGTCTCTGTTATTCTTTTTCCACCGTAACTGCGCTGGTTCTGGTGCCCGAGCTGGAGTCGTGTTCGGCGGGGAACTGCTAACGGACTATGGCACGCCGTTTTGACTTTTATTCATTCTCAGGATATGAATTTTTGATATCAACAATTAAATTTTTACTAGTTAAAATGTTAATTCTTGATATCAGGAATTAGATTTCTACTAGTAACAATTGCTATTTTTGATATCAACAACTACATTTCCACTAGTAACAATGTTAATTATTCATATCCTGAGAATGAATAAAAGTCAAAACGGCTTGCCATAGTTGTTCTGCATAAAATTGAACGATATAGGCCTACAGCACAGTAACGATTTTATAGATAAAATAAAATGTACACAAACCTGTATTTTACCGAAGAATGCATCAATTCGATGGCGCTTAGAACTGCTCTCTCGTGAAGAGAAGACGCAAAATCCCCGCGATAAAAAACCTCAACTGCTGGGTTACGTCTGACCCAGGATCTGAGTAACACAAAAACTACCCAAACATTGGGTTGATATGTCTGACCCAGGAGCTGCAAAACAACCCAAACACTGGGTTGTTACATTTGACCCAGGAGCTGGGTAACACAAAAACTACCCAAACACTGAAAAAACAACCCAAAAAATTACCCAAAAGGCTCAACCCAGCATTTGGGCTAAAAAAAATAACCCAGGATTTTTTAGAGTGTATGAACATCTATTGTAATTATCATTACACTCTAAAAAATGCTGGGTTAAATACAACCCAGTGCTGGGTAAAATAGGGACAAACCCAGCAATTGGGCTGTTTTGACCCAGCGGTTGGGTTAAATGTTTAACCCAACCTTCTGGGTAGTAACCCAACAGCTGGGTCAAAACAACCCAATTGCTGGGTTTGTCCCTATTTTACCCAGCACTGGGTTGTATTTAACCCAGCATTTTTTAGAGTGTATAATTAACTTCATAATTGTGTTTATTCTTACAAATGTAAAGGTCACCATTGATGTTCAGCTGTCTTATCTTACCCGGAGATCTCCCTGTTTTAGCTCCGTAATCATCGATGGTTAGTTTACCAGACTGTCCATCCCTTCAAACGGAGACAAACATAAAGGCTTGGTTAAACTGAGAAAACTACAGCCCTTTTAAATGGTACAAATTGCCTGACATTCAACTACACTGAAGAAATTTGGTGTAGGATTTTCTTTTTCACTGAATCACTGTAAATGTGAAATTTTGAAAAGAAAGACATGCTGAAATAATGATTTAAAGGCAAATGTCTTACCTGACAGCCTTCACTCTGTGCCATCTGCCATCACTAAATGTGCCGTTAATGACCACAGTGGCGGCTCCACTACCAAGATTGTAGCTGTAGAGAAAATAAGAGATGTTAGGAGGATCTTAGGAAGATGCTTTTGATCCTCTATTGTCTGCAAAAATGCATAAATGTAAACCTCATGCCTTTAAGCATGTGGGTGCATGCAGACTGATATGTTGTTATACCTGAAAATGAGCGCTCCATGTTGAAGGCCCAGAGACAGGTAGTCACTCTTAGCTCTCATCAGACTGTCTCCTCGCCATAGTAAAAGACCATCTTTAGACGTGCTCTTAAATCGCATGAACATGTTTGTTCTGGAACCTGACACCCTGCAGAGACACGCACCATTATATTAGCATGTGTGCATGCATGTAAGCACGGAAAAGACAAAAACATCATATGAAGCATATAGAGTGCAATAGAAGTAAAAAAAAAAATTCTCCATTGGGTAATAGATTTTTGATAACCTATAAATAAAGACTCAAGACAGACCTGCTGTGAGCGCCATGGTTGTTAATCAACGGTATGTGCTTTTGTTGAAGCCATCTGTTTAGATTATTTCAAATAACTATAACTTTAAAATAATCATGTTTAACAGTGGAATTCAAAGTGGAAAAACGGCATTACCCATGATGCTGTGCTCACCAATCAGAGGTGAACAAATTGCACTCTCCAATGAAGCACCTCAAACGATTGTTTCTATAGTAATAATAATCAACAACTTTAAATTAATAGTTCTATATTTCACCATTGTTTTTAATTGTCATTCACAAGGCTTTATTGGATTGTAGTTCTTTCCCTCACTAAAACAGTTAAGTACACAGACTTTTTGTCTGATTTTTAAATAGTTTTTGCTTAAAATCAAATTTTGTAATGTTGTGATCTTGTGAAAATGATTACTATTTAAGCAGTAATTCCCACATTCTGCACAGTGAGAGCACAAAACAGAATAAAAAGGAGCTTAAGAAAGATTTTTAAGTGTTATGGAAGAAGTCTGCAAGGAATATCAGAGCAACGTCTCAAACACAAAATACTGTTTGTGTACTACGCAAAGAAAGTTTTCCATTAGAGCTCAATCCTGCTCCTGGAGATCTGCCTTCCTGCAGAGTTTAGTTTCAGTCGTATACTAATAATATGAGAAGCACTGGATTCAGTCATTTTCGTACAGTTATTCCCATTTTTATCTAATTTTGCATTAAAAAAACAAACTGAACAATTAAGTCGAGGAGGAGTCATTACAGGCATGGACGATTAAATCTAGTGCATCGTTGGATACAGTTTTATTTATTTGCAGTGTGCTCTGGTTTCATGTATGTTTTCAAAATGTAGCTGATATTTTATGTACTATTATAGTATGTATTATTATTTTAATTAACTTTAACTTTTTTTATTATTAACTTTGAGTTTTTGTTTCTATTTTAGTTTACGTTTTAGTAGTTTTAGTAGTTGATATACAATAATAAATATAATTAAAAAATGTATAATTACATTATGAATTATTAAAATAATTCTGTTATTATTTCTATATAGCTTTAATTTTTATTTCAGCTTTAGTTTTAGTAATTTTAGCACTTCAACTTAAGCATTCTAATTTAAACTCAAGTTTTCCATCTAATATTTATATTTGATTTTACTTCTGCTTTATTTCAATGACCAATTTCTTTTTAAGTATTTTAGTAGTTTTAGTTAACATACTATAAATTAGTAAGTGTAGTATGGTAGCAGACGATTTTGAACATAGCCTGCTTTTGGAATGGAATACTAGCATACTAATTACTGCATGGTGCACACTATGTACTGTATACTGCCTACTCTATTTTTAATGGATAAAATATGTTTTTCGCATACTGTACATTATGCATTTGGCAATAACTGCATGAGAAGTATTTAAGCATTTCGTTCTGAACTTAACCCTGGATTAGAAGCTTCAGATTTGTGCGCTTAAAATTGGAGCTAAACTATGGACAGCAGATCTTCAGGAGCACCTATGCCTTCGAGTTGTTTGTTTTCTCACCTTTCTGACAGTGTTTCCCATCATACCCAAGCGCACAGTCACAGTCGTATCCGTCCCACGTCGGTCTGCATGCTCCTCCATTAGCACACGGGTTCTCCACACACAGGTGATCTGCGTTCCACACGTTCACCCCAAAAGCCTGACCGGGCTTCAGCTCTATAGTGCGGTCATTCAGAGTGATCTGGGTCAGGAGGAAAGATTGAAAATTATAATACCGTTTTAAGATTTCAAACATTAAATCTGCACATGTGCAGTTGTAAATAGTCAGGTGTTGCAGCATTGAACACTAAGTATCTTAATACTACTTAAATCACTACTTAATAATCATGATTATTTCTTAACGCTGCTATGTGGTTGTCAGGGAGCATTGGGTGTCTGTAGTTTAGTCTTCATTAGTACCTTCTGCACAGTTCCAGTGAAGGGTCTCAGGACGCCAGCGCTTGTCTTAGTAATATCATAATTAGGAACTCCTCCAATATAGAGAGGAGAACTACACTTTATCTGTGTAAATGCACCCTGAGAGAGAGAGAGAGAGAGAGAGAGAGATTATTATTAATATTTGTGCTGTTATACAATACACTATATACTTACAAAATAATAAAAAAGCATACAGATCCCTTGTATTATACATTTCTGATTGAACAGATTTTGTTGTCGTTAACTGATGTTCAAAATCCCATATTAAATGAAAAGTGTCAAAATGTGTTTTTTCACTCTGTCGTTAAAGGAAATTATGTGGACTGAATAAAACAATAAAATGATCAATTTAATAAACTAAAATAATAAAAATAACATTTCCGGCTTTAAAAGTATATAACGAAATGTACTCACTAGTGAAAGTAAGTGTAAGATTCAGAATATTTTATTACACTAACTTTCAAAGATTTGGGGTCACTTCGATTTATTTTTAAAGGAAATTAATAGTTAATATTCATCAAATTGATCAAAAGTGACATTTTATAATGTTACAAAAGATTTCTATTTCAAATAAATTCTGTTCTTTTAAACGTTCTATTATTTCTATCAAAGAATCCTGGAAAATAAAAAATTGGAATGATTTCTGAAGGATCATGTGACACTGAAGACTGGAGTAATGATGCAGAAAATTCAGCTTTGTATCACAGAAATAAATTAAATTTTACAATATATTCAAATAGAAAAGTGTTATTTAAATTGCACTAATATTTAACAACATTACAGTTTTTATGGAGTTTTCATGGCATTTATGAACAAATAAATGCAGCCTTGGGGAGTATAAAAATATTCCAATATATTAAAAACATCTTACTGACCACAACTTTTGTATGGTAGTGTAAATGTTTTTAAGGGGTCATATGATGCGATTTAAATTTTTCCTTTCTCTTTAGCAAAAAAAAAAATGTGGCCTTCCGAAAGTAGATGCAATGAGGAATCACTGGTTAAGACTTATTTACAACAGCACAACCCAGATGTTCGAATTTGTGCAACGCATTTTAGGGACGACAGTTTTTTTAACCTAGAAAAGTACAAGGCTGGCTGTGCACAAAGGCTATTTCTAAAAAAAAAAAAATATGGGCAAATTCTGACTTTGCTATGACAATCTGGCGCTTCTGAATCAGCGACTGTAAGTATGTTTTGTTATCAGTTTAAGTATTTGCTATTGACTGTTCAAATGCAGAGTTTTGCGCAGCGCAGAGTAACGCGTTGTGTGTGTGAGAGGGGAACAGGGGTAACATCACAGGAGAGTGAACTGCCTGTCAGAAATCATAGCACGTCAGCTGTCTTAACCGCGGCTTGTGTACTGCATCATCACTGTGTCTGTCACGTGACTCTGTTGCCCTTTCGGGCTTGAACTGATGGTAAAACTAACGACATTATTAACTGTCATGATATTTACTTTGAAAGCTGAAGCGATTATGGTAAGGGGTATGGTAACTCCACATATCCGCCCACCAGGCTGATTGACAGGAAGTCAGGACTGGCCGCATCATCGGTGTAGAGCAGCGTGCCATCGGGATTGGTCGGCTGGAAGGTCATCTCGAACTCCATGAAGGACAGGTAGTTGTGGGATGGCTGAGGCCAGGGGGCGCTGGAGTACGAGTACATGCTCTCGTTGAACTGGGGTAGAGACAACAGGAAACCTGAAACGAGAGGAATTAGCCATAGAATTGAAGAAATATGAAGTCAGGTAATGACACACATTCATGTTGGAACCTGAAAATAACTGTGCAACTGCTCTTCTTTCGGACCTAGTCACACTTTTGCACTTCTTTATCACACATTTTTACAACAAATATGTTTAAAAATGTTGACTGTAGATTGTATTTATTATTACTGCTACTACATTTGTTCATGAGTGTTAAATGCTGTATGTTATGTCTTGTAAGATATACATGTTCATGTTTTTGCACTGAGGTGTTTCGGAGAAACTGTGTGACACTTGTTACTTTTGAAAACGAATAGCACTTAATTATATTGAATGTGCACTTGTGGTGCACTTCAAATTTTACTTTAAAAGTATATATTTTTTAAAACTGTACTTGCAGAAAATATAACATTAGTTAAAAGTAAACTTTGTTTCTTAACATAAGTACACTTAAAAATGGATTTTGTAATAATGTCAAATTACATGCTTTACTTTAAAGTATATTTTAAATCATTATGTTTTAATAATCTTTTGTTGTACTTTACAGAAGTACACTTATTTTGATGTGTTAACATACTAAAGCACATACTTGAGAGAGTATCTTGAGTAATCAAAGAGTACTTGATTATAATTTTAACTATGTTTATAATTAAACATATTTTAAAAGTACTACATTGCAAATTCATCATTACAAATGTGTAATTATAGATCTATTTAAATACATGAGATACAAGTTTCAATAGAAATAACATTAAAGTATATTTTAGTTTACCATAAATGCTTTTCAGTACATTTGGCAGTACACTTTAACCATATTTCAAAGAGAACAGAAGTAATTATGAAATTACATTTATAGATGTACTTATAAGTCCACTTTTATTTATTTATTTATACTTCTATTCAGCAGGAATACATGAAATTGATCAAAAGTGACAGAAAATGTGTTTATAATGTTACAAAAGATTTCTTTCTCAAAGAAATGCTGCTTTTTGAACTTTCTATTCATCAAAGAACCCTGAAAAAAAATCATGTATCACCGTTTACACAAAATTATTACACAAAAATATTGTGCAGCACAACTGTTTTCAACATTAATAATAAGAATAAGAAATGTTTCTTGAGCATCAAATCAGCATATTATTATGATTCCCGTACTTATATTACATTTAAAGATGCACTTAAGTCCTACTTAAGTCGGTAAAACAGCACTCTTAAATATAAATTAAAACGAGAACACATTTTCATTTAATTGTCAAAAATATTAAATTAAGTGTCCAAACGCATTACACGCATTCTTTCATAAGGAGGGAAAAAACAATAAAAACTACTTAAATTGACAAGTTTCTAAAAATTAAAAATGTGGTGGTGCACATGCAAAAGTCATGGCACATAGCCATGGTGTTAGTTTGTGTTTGTGTTTGTCTGTGTCTGTGTCAGTGTGTCTGTGTGTCTGTCTGTGTGTGTGTGTGTGTGTGTCTGTCTGTCTGTCTGTCTGTCTGTCTGTCTGTCTGTCTGTGTGAGGTGACCTTCTCACACACACGGTTGCTGCACTCACCTGAAACACACAGAAGAGAAGAAGATGCTTTGAACACATATACAGTGATCCCAACAAGTATGTGGACATTTAAAAATGTCTGAATATCAATGCATTAGATCACTGCACTGCCGTTCAAAAATTTGGGGGCAGTTTTTGAAAGGAGTCTCATCAAGGCTGCATTTATTTGATAAAAAATACTGTTAAAACAGGAATTTTATGAAATATTGTTTCAATTAAAATAATTGATTTCTATTTGAAAATATTGTCAAATGTAATTTATTCCTGTGATGCAAAGCTGAATTTTCAGCATCATTAATCCAGTTTTCAGTGTCACATGATCCTTCAGAAATCATTCTAATATGCTGATTTACTGCTCATGAAACATATCTTATTATTATCAATGTTGAATATTGAATAATTCTGTGGAAACTGTCATTTAGTTTTTAAAGAATCAGAACTTATTTGTATTTATTTGAAATATAAGAAATATTTTGACAATTTGAAAGTCTTTATTGCCATTTAAAGGGATAGTTCACCTAAAAATTAAAATTCTGTCATTAATTACTTACCCTCATGCGTTCCAAACCCGTAAGACCTTCGTAACACAAATTCAGATATCTTTGATGAAATTCGAAAGCTTTCCGAGTCTGCATACAGCAATGTAACTGAAATGGCGGACACAGACACGGATAAGAAGAATTGTTAAATAAGGTGGTTATTTTTAATAAGTATTCCCGTAGCTTCGTAAAATTACGGTTGAACCACTGATGTCACATGGACTATTTTAACAATGTACTTACTACCTTTCTGGGCCTGGGAACATTTCCATTACATTGCTGTATGCAGGGTCAGAAAGCTCTTGGATTTCATCAAAAATATCTTCATTTGTGTTCAGAAGGTCTTTCGGGTTTGGAACGATATGAGGGTGAGTAATTAATGACAGAATTTTCATTTTTGGGTGAACTGTCCCTTTAATGTATCCTTGGTGAATAAAAAAAATCTTACTGACCCCAAACTTTGGTAGTTTGGTATTTTACATCAGTAGTGTAAAATATTTACTTGTACCTCCTGAGTTAAGTTAATATTTCAATATTTTAACAACACATTTGCAAGTTCACAGTTCTCGGATGTCGGTTAATGATCTCACGACATGCAGGTAAACAAATAAAATACTTAATATTTTTTAGTATGTGTTTTTTTTTTTTACATATGATGCGATTTCAAGTTTTCCTTTCTCTTTGGAGTGTTACAAGCTGATTGTGCATAGATAAGATCCCTGAAGTTGCAAAGACTAAAGTCTCAAATCCAAAGATTATTATTAATATTTGTGCTGTTATACAATACACTATATACTTACAAAATAATAAAAAAGCATACAGATCCCTTGTATTATACATTTCTGATTGAACAGATTTTGTTGTCGTTAACTGATGTTCAAAATCCCATATTAAGTGAAAAGTGTCAAAATGTGTTTTTTTCACTCTGTCGTTAAAGGAAATTATGTGGACTGAATAAAACAATAAAATGAGAAATTTAATAAACAAAAAATAAAATTTCCGGCTTTAAAATTATATAACGAAACGTACTCACTAGTATAAGTAAGTGTAAGATTCAGACTATTTTCTTACACTAACTTTCAAAGATTTGGGGTCACTTCGATTTATTTTTAAAGGAAATTAATAGTTAATATTGATCAAAAGTGACATTTTATAATGTTACAAAAGATTTAGATTTCAAATAAATTCTGTCCTTTTAAACTTTCTATTATTTCTATCAAAGAATCCTGGAAAAGAAAAAATTTGAATGATTTCTGAAGGATCATGTGACACTGAAGACTGGAGTAATGATGCTGAAAATTCAGCTTTGCATCACAGAAATAAATTAAATTTTACAATATATTCAAATAGAAAAGTGTTATTTAAATTGCACTAATATTTCACAACATTACAGTTTTTATGGAGTTTTCATGGCATTTATGAACAAATAAATGCAGCCTTGGTGAGTATAAAAATAATCCAATATATTAAAAACATCTTACTGACCCCAACTTTTGTATGGTAGTGTAAATGTTTTTAAGGGGTCATATGATGCGATTTCAAGTTTTCCTTTCTCTTTGGAGTGTTACAAGCTCTTGGTGCATAAAGAAGATCTGTAAAGTTGCAAAGACTAAAGTCTCAAATCCAAAGAGATATTCTTTATAAAAGTTAAGAGTCAGCCACGCCCTCCTAAAACGCCTCGTTCTAACACGCCCCCCCCACATGTCTACATCACTATGTGGAAATATTAGCATAATGCCGCCCAAATGTGCACGCAAAGAAAGAAGGCATGGTTTCAGGAACAGCAGTAGTGTTGATGCAGCCATGTCAGAGAGACGGTGTGTTTCTCAGTGCGAAAGCAAAAGCACTTTATTTGGCCTTCCG